CTATTAAAATTGCTTCTCTGGTGGGAGAAATAAGTAGTGGCAATTTATTGAAACTTGGTAGGAAAAACAACCCACACAAACTTTCTTTTAACAATGTACCTACAGACAGGAGCCATTGGCTTTATTTTTTCCTATAAACGGGGAAAATCTGGGATTAGGAAAAATGAATCCTGAGTTTTGCTGGTGAATTGAGAGCACTCCATTGTGACATTAGGGATACAACCTGGCTGTTGTGTCGAGTTTGGCTGTTTTCAAAACCAGTGCTAAATTTGGCCAACCTTGTACTGAAACTCCTATTTGGCATCCTGTACGTTCTTCTCTCACAGGCTGGTGGGACTGGAAATTAATTCTCTCTAGGCAGATGGCCCTTCAGGCTTCAGAATTTCTAAGCACACAGCTTATCTCTGCTAAGAACAAGCATCTTCAATACCTCATTTTTCACACACACAAAGATGGGGCAGTGATGCACCATTTCCAAGAGCTTTTGCAATGTCTGCTGATGGAACAGTGAAGGGGCCGTGTTTTTTTCTGCATGGTGCCACTGCCTGAAGGTACCAAAAGGTTTGAAAACTGTACCACACCACATTCCTACTGAGAAATGAGAAAAACAAAATGAAAAAAAGGCACTGTCCATCCTAACATGGCCCGAGTTGTGTGCACTCCAAAGTGAAGAGGGCTGCTGATGTTCGGCATGTGACACCAAACATCTGCAGTTTTGGTTCCTGCATGGCACAGACTAAGGCTGTAGAATTCACTGCCATGATCTTCCTTCCTTCCTTCTTTTTCATGTAGCAGGGGACTCAGTTCTTTGCCCTTTGTGGGACTTGGAGACTTTCCATGGTTTAATGTGAAAAAGGGCTGTTGCCGAAGGAGCGTACTCATGCAGTTCACTTTGAAGATGTGGAAGCAGCGTGTGTGTATATGTGTCTCCTTCCAAGGTGTGTCCTCCAGCTGCCGGATGCCTTCACTTTCATGGATTTCCCTTTGAAACAGTGATTATAGGCACCCAATTAGCGGCATCTCTAACACAGACCCTGCAGGCAGTGTAGGCAGCATCAAAAGGAATCACAGCAAAGCTCATAGTGCCAGCGGAGCATTGAGAGGTTGGCTGTGCTTTGGTATTTATTCAGAGCCAGGACTCCAAAATAACGTGCTTTTTGAAGGAGAGCTCACAGGAAGAACAGCACCTTTTCCCTAGTTGGACGTGAACAATGTCAGAGCCTTTTATTCATTCAGTGTTCTTGAGTGTTCCCGCTAATTATCTCAGCTACTATGCAGAGAAAAGGGTTGAACAGCAAAAGCCTGCGTTGTTCCACATGTAGGTATGTACATGAGTATCTTACTCTTGCAATTGGGATTTATCTTTTCAAGGGAGCATGAGTTTAGATGATAAAATGCTTCTCAATGATTTCACTGTGGGAAGAGTTAAGGATGCGTGTATTCTGTGTGTATTTTCATAGTCAGTAAAATGGCTTCATTTTATAAGTAACTTCCGCTGCAGTCTTCCTGTGGGATTAATTTTTTATGACTTTAATCTTTTGATGTTTTAAATGTATTCTCACTTTTAGTTAACTAAAGCAAATGTTGTGGTCTTGGAAAAGTCACAGCACCATGGAAGACCCAAAGTCTCCACCAGTGGACAGTATGGTAACTTGACAGTAGAGCTTCATTATCAGCTCTACTTCTTCCAGGTTTTTAGTAAAAGCACATTTTTCTGTTGTATGAACAGTTGGTTTAGAGTACATATAAGCCAAAACCTCTGCATACATGCAGCTACAGTCACAGAATCCATTTATCAGTTTCAGAAAAGGAATGAAGAGGAGGAGGCAGAATTTAAGGAAACAAAGAATTCTGAAAAGTGCCAATGGGGAGGTTAAAAAAAAAAAAAGTGTAGGAATACCAAAGATTGTTGAAAGAGGAAAGGATTAGGACAGCTTACAAGAATAATTTTGCCAATGTATCTTATGAAGAATCCCCTCATAGCACTCTGATTTCAGAAGTGATGTAACAGGCCCCTTCTCCCTCCAACCCCCAACTGCCAATCCATCCAACTACAGTTAATGTCAGTGCATTAAATTTGCCACTAATTAATTTCTTAAAAAATACATATACATATATATTGACTGACTAAACTTGAATGGTATGGTTATAGTTTCCTTTACTATCATTTTTCATAATCATTTACCCTTAAGGGTAATTAGCAGTTGTAATTCATCCATAAAAAAACCTGCAGTCTGATGATTTCTCCTTGGCCAAGCCTAGGGAGTGAGCCCAGCAGTGTCACCAGGATAAAACACTTCAGGAGAACAAAAATACACAATTAGCTAAAAATGAAATGAACCAGAAAGTGCTGAATGTGTCATACTACTTTCCTTACTGGACACCCATACTGAACTCATTAGCAAACAGTGCTGATCCCAGACAAACTGGAGATCTTTCATTCTGGAGACTTTTGGATGCACATGGCTGTTTCCATGCCAAGGGCTAATGATATAGCATAGAGTGCACGCAGAGGCTAAACTCAATGTGTTTGCTATGCTGCCATCCCACGAACTGTAAACAGTTCCCTTGCCCCCTGATTCTCCAAACCATGCCAAGGTCTGGTAAAAGGAGCGCTAGCCTTGCCATGAGAATGCCATTAATTAGAAGAATCAGTGAAAAAGATGGTGAACCCAGAGATTTCCTGACTTGATACGAGCACCTGAGCTAGATGAAACTGTATAAACTCATTGCAGGGGGTAGCATCCTCCTCTGAGTAATGCTAAAAAAATGTATTTATGCTCTCAAAACCAGAGTAAGTACCTCAGCTTTTGGGTTTTGTAATTTCTAAAACAGGAATTGTGTGAGCATGTTACCAGGCTGGCACTGGCAAGCATCCCTAAAGACCTTGGGCATTGATAATAACTAAATCTTAGTGGAGAGCCACAAAATGTGACTGAGTGATACTAGCACAGAAACAAAAAGATGATGGAATGGTTATCTGATAACTGACTGTGTGGACATTATTACAGATGTTCTTGGTGATAATGATTTGCTAGTGTAGGAAGCAAGCATGTACTTATCTGGAAAATGAGGCATACAAATCCTAAATGGCATGGGGGCATGCCATGGGCATAACAGGATGCTAGTAAGAGACTACAAGCACACTGTGCCAAAGGAAATAGTGTGAAGTTAGTGTGTCACATTAAAAAAGTGACCCTTTATGCTTATGTGAGGTCTTTTATCAGCTAGCAGTGACAGTGTCAAAGGGCATTGTTGATCCATTCCTTACAGCTGGGATACCCATGCAGCAATTTCTGGTACTGGACTTGATGTAAAAGGACCACAGAACTAAAGTGAAGTACAACTACGGTGTCCTGGGGAGGTAATGTTATTTCAAATGAAAACCACAGGTCTGTAAATGCAAACATGCTATAGATTCAATCAAAAGTAATTTCTATATGCATATCATGTATATACCAATAAGTGCAGGACAGCTCTTTTTACGCTAGCACTTATGTTGCTTAATCATTGCATTGAATTTCTTGATGGAGATTCATTGAGAGGAAAAATGGTAAAAAGTTTATGGAAGCATCAGGCAGAACTGAATATATGACTATATGAAAAGTTACTGAAATAGACAGCTACTCCAACAAGAGTGCATTGTTGGATGTGAAGAAAGAAGCTTGTCTGTGTTTGACAGCAACTAAACCTCTCTCCTTGTTTTAAAGAAAGGGCTCCCAATGACTCTGCAGTATCCTATGGGCACTAGGGCTGTAGATGACTTTGTCTGAAATACTTTCTCCTTTTCAAGCACTGGCTATGGGGAATGTTTCTGGATAAGTCGGCTCATATCCATCTTTTTCCTAAAGACAGTTGAATCTTTGATCTACAGCGACAGCAGTTGATATGGAGAGCTCACACGTGACTTCAACCCCTAGTTCTAGAGAGGCCTCGCAAGCGTTGTCTTATCCTCTCAGAAATGGATAGAAGACATGGATATGCAAGGTTCAGGAGGTTCATACCTACTGTCCCCCAAGGTCCAGAGCACTCCCAGGAAGGCAGAGGAACCGAGGCTCTGTTTCTCCAAGGGCTGAGTGTGTCGTCTCACACCTTGTCGCTGCCTTCATGCAGACAGCAGATACTTGCCAATTCTGAACTTACATTTCCGTATCTGCAGAAGCACTTAAGAATTTTGCATATGCGGAAACTGTCAACTGTAAATCTGCTGTCTCTTGCTAGTTGTAGTTTAGAACTGTGCCAAATGGGCATATGCATTCTGGTTGAGCTAACTTGGAGTACAGCGGTGACACACGCTAGCAGTTTTGCTTAGGGCCATGTTAGCAGCTTTTCTCCTGCCATGTTTTATAGTGATTGCATCTTTCACTATGTAAGAAGATGGTGCTATTGACAAGTGCCTATACGGTTTCCTAGCATAAGAACTACTCAGTTATGCTGCATCAGCCCAGCTCCTTTATAAAGTTTGTTTACTACAGGTTAGAAAACACATGTATACATGCTTTGGGGTCTTCAGAATCAGAAGCTGAAGGCAATTTGGTGAGAAGGCACCAGTTCTCATGGAAGGTCATGTACTCATCGACTGCTGAAGTCACCTATTTAACACTGCTGTCATAATTACTAATAATTCTATTACGTTGTTTCTTTCCAGGGAACGAGAAGAATCTCTTACTGTGTGTTGATGCAATTCGTTGCAAAAATGGAGCTTGCATCCTCCCTTTGTGGTCTCAATGCTCTCTGTCTGACATTTCTTAGTTATTATTCACACATCTCTCTCTGTACCTGTCTGGTTCTCTCCTTGTTGCTCTGTAGCTCTCTGCGTCAGAAAAAGAGATGAGCCCTTTGCATTTGGCAGCACAAAAGCATTTACCCTTCTTGCCACTTAGCACAAATTTGCTGTAGCGTTGAGCTGTTGAACTCCTGGAAGAGTACAGGATTCAGACCTCAGTGAGATTCCTGCAAAATCTGTCCTTGCTTATTTGTTTTGGGCCTTTTTTCTCCAGGTCTTGTGTGACAGACATGTGTGAGTGCCCAGTCCATAAAAACTGCTTCTGTGAGTCCTTCCTGGCCTATGCTCGAGCCTGCCAGCGGGAAGGGCTGAGAGTGCAGTGGATACCAGAACAGCACTGTGCAGGTAAGCATTTTGCAAATGCCTCTTTGTAATTTGTGTATAGGTTAACAGGCTCTTTTACCCGAGGAGGAGGTTCATATATGAACAGGCTAGGACTTTGAACTATCACGTATTAGAGATGTTTGTTTTGTTGCAAAACTGATCACTTTTAATGCCATCTAGCATAATTTTATATACTTTCGGAAAGAAATGCATGCTTTTTCCTATTAGGATTGTTACACATTTGGTTGCAGGTGTTGTTTAAATTCTTTTGACCTACTGCTAAATCACAGCTGTAGTTCCCTAGACAACATATTTGTATGGTTGCAAAAGGTTCAACAAGGGAAGAAAAAAGAATGTCTTTAATGGGAATATCAAAATGCAGGTAGGTGTGCATTAATCTTGGTACTTGCACCAAATTCTGCATGTGATTAGGACTGCATTAATTGCAAGTAATTGTAAGTAATTGTTTCCATGAGAAGTGGTCACATGTGGTCATCATTTTACTTGAAGTAAAATACAATATTGCAGATGAATTTTTCCCCTGATGATGATCTCAGTAATTTAGGATACTCTATAATGGTCTTGGTTTGCCTGGAAATGTATTCAGATTTATGTAAAGCAATTTGAGTTGGAAAAATACGAGAGAAGGATACTCAGTGCTGGTCAAAGAGCACTCTGTGGTCGATTTTGGTGATTGTCTGTGGCTCAGGGTCTACTCTCTCATCTTCAATTTCCTTTCCTGTTGAAGACACAATAGCAGGAATGGGTGAGTGACAGAGCAAATTACATTTGATTGACTGTTCCCAAAAGGCTCATCTTTTCTTATGACACCAAACAAGGTGTCAGTAAGTGAAAGCACTGTTCAAGGATGTGGTCTCAGCACTGATAATGTAAGCAATTTTAATCTATTGATCCAGTAGCAGATACATGCAGACCTTGAATTGAGCAGCCTGACTTCTTTTCTTTTGTTGTTTTTTTTTTCTTTTCACCAAAGCATTTCAGAAGGACCTCACTGTTGCAGATGCTGTAAAATGAATAAAAACTCCAGTACTTGCCTTAAGGAGTTTGTAAAAGTGTTGACATATCATGGCTTCGCTAATTGAGTCGTCTTTTCACATTTTTTCTGTTGTTTTACTAAAGTCAGAAAAAGTTCTTGAGAGAACATTAAGAAGGAATTTAAATATACATCTTCCATTAGAGCTAATGAAAGAATTTTGTAAATTCACCTGAATTTTTTAACCTCAGTGCAGGCTTATAGAGAGGAAAGGAAAATATTATTAAGCAGAAAATAGGGACTGGCTGTATGTGGTCAAATACCCTCAAAATACTTTAGCATCTGGGGTCAAACAAGTAGCACAGTGTTCTACAGTGAGTTGTACAGTAAGCATTAAATTAAATAAAGTGCATCCACTGCATCCGTAAAATGCATCCTTATGTTACCTGTGGCCAGCACCAAGATTTTATTTTTTAATTTACCTTTTTATTCCACAGCTGTAGTTACAATTATTATGTCCTAATTATGGATGAAAGTTTTTGAGTATGAAACAATATATCCATAATAAAAAGTTAGCTTTCTGTGACTTTCATTTCCTTTTTGACATTTCATAGCTGGTGGGATACCTGGAAGAGCTGTGTTCTGATGGAAATTGAGTATATTTATTAGTAAAGTTAGGTTTTAATTATTCTATTGTGTGTTATAAAACCAGTTCTTGTGTGGTTGCCAGTTCCTATACATTGACTGCTGTACACTTAACTCATTTTTATAATCTTTAGAAAGCTTGTGTTGTCTGGACAGTCAGCCAAACAGGATGCTCAGGAGGCTGAATTTCCTACATGCTCTTCCTCCTCCCTCAGTTCAACAGTGCATCCTACTTCTAAGGCCTTGGCAAAATATTTGAGTGCAAAGCTTGCTGGCCTTTTGAAGCTTTCTTGGTAAAGGGAATGCCAGTTGTTGTTTAGCATGGGCATGCTACAGAGAATAAGCACACAGGAACTATAAGAGAGTGCTAAGTGCACATGGTGGCACTGATACGCTGAAATGCTCTAATAGCCTCATAAAAGTGAACAATTTTCTGCTTTCATCCCTATGTGAGAGAGGAGGATGAGGCTATACCTGATTTTGACTCTTCTCTCTTGGGTCTCCTCCTTTCTGCTATTGAATTTTCTGGCCAGTCGCTCTTTTTCCCTGCTGCAATTTGCTTTTCTTTAATGATTTTATTCTGTATGTATCAGAGGGAGAAAGGCTATTCTGACTTTTCAGTGGGAACTTCTTAAGAACTGAAAATCAGAAAGGTCAGCACACGTGTATCACGAGTTTAGCACCCAGACCTGTTGCTGGATTTCTGGCCCCATAAGGGACATCTAAATTGAACGTCCTTTGACACACCTTGAAAGCCCAAATTGTACAACATCAACAGAAGAAGCTGCAAAAACAGTAGCTCAGAAATTTCTGTGGAAACAGATCATTCATTTCAGCAGTCCCTGGGAAGCCTACTGCAGAATGCCTTTATTTTTATTTTTCAAACTGCTGGTGAAGTGGAATGTTCTAGATGGATCGCACCACATGTTAACAACCAAAGCACTCAACAATAAGAACCATCCAGGGAGCTCCAAACAGCAGCCATTGTACTCTTCTGATTTTTCCCTTGACGGTAAGCTAATAACACCATCATGAAGTGACTACAGCAGAGAATAAAGCCATTATATCTTCCACATGGCATCTGAAGCAGAAGGAGGTATCTGCAATGCAGTAGGGCATCTATCCACGTGTAGGAGAGATGGGGAGTACCTAGGGGTTCCACAGCTGCTGATGGCAGCCTGTCATATATTCTCTTTACTTCGGGGTAGAGAGGAGCAAGTGGAAAAGAGATCTTGAGCCAATTTACCTCAAACCTCCTGGCTAAGGCACCAAGGTGGAACAAATGGGCTGGCTACTACTACTGTAAAGCTTTGTTTGTGGGTTGTGTGCAGCCTAAAAGCTTACGATCGTAGACCTTTTAAATGAACTCATGTTGTGCTTTGAACATCTTGGTCTACTTTTCTACACAGTTAATGCGTTTACAAAATGTATTAACAGATATGTTTGCAAAGCTTCTGGAAGTTCTGTGCATTTCCACTCCACTGGAAATTTAATCTCTTTTCTTAACACGCTGTGGAAATGCAGAGTTTGCAGTGAATCTAGCTTTTTACTATATCCTCAATTACTGCTTGCATGCTTTTCCAACCTTCTAAATTTCCCCTTTAGTTTAAATTTCACTTTAATTTTTTTTATTTTGCTTATTCCCTTCTTCAGTGCACACAGAAGTTATGCAGAGCAAGATAGCAATGTGTAGCTTGAAAAACGTCCCCAAAAGATAAACACTCCCAAGCAGAATAAGCTTATAATCTCAAATACTGCTGAAAGATGATTTCCCCATCTTATTCTAGAATGATGTTCAGTAAGAGGTGTCTCTCAGAGTTCTTGAGTAGTTTGTTCTAGAGTTTTCATATACTTACAGCTAATAAACTTTACTTTCTAAGATCTACCTTATATCTATCTAATATTCAGCTCTTTAATTTGCTGTAATTCCAGGATTACTGCCTGCTGTACTATCCATTTTTTTGTCTGTATATTTAACAGTTGTCCTGAAAATGTTGTATTCATTTTTCTCAGAATTTCTTCCTTTTTCAGTGCTCCTTTTTGCATGGGTATAAATGCTATAAAATGTGTAAGAAGTAAAACTTGCACTGTTTTGAAGATCACTTTCTTACTGACGAAGAAGAGCCCTTAAACTAATGATGCCTTAGAAATAAGACTTCCACCAGCCTTCCTGGAACACTCTTAAGACTTCAGTATTTTAATCAGTTGTTTTTTTCTTTCCTGCACATTTTCTCTTTGTGAATCGTGTCAGTGCTGTAGTGACGCTCTAAGGCTATTCTGCACATCAAAACAACGTTTTTGGTCCACAGTAGAGCTGTTCTTTAACAAAATCTTGACCTCCAATCTATCTCAGAATTGAAGAAATCTTTCTAAGGTAACCATCTCTCTGTAAATAGCAAGAGATGGTTCTGGATGCTTGAGAGCCTGTTACCATCTATAAACTATTTTTTCAGTACTTGTTTTTGCCATCAGCACAGCTGTTAGAAAGAATAACAGGCTTTTATTCGCTATTGAACTGTGCATTATTCTCCATACTAAAAAGGCAGGATATAAAATGTTAAGAGTTTAAATATTGATCTGTTGGGCTTAGAGTGCTTTTAGCTGAGACCTCAGTGGTCTTTTATGTTGGAAATCCATTGAACTGTCAACTGCATAAATCAATGAAGAGATACTGGAATCATTAAGTATGAGAATCTTCATTCTCAGTGATCCCTTGGTAAAACAGCATGAAGGATGGAAATAATTGATTTATATATATATATGGAACTGCTGAATTAACGGCATTGTTTTGATAATGCTGCAATATGCAATACTGAAAATATAATCTTAGAAAGTCTGCTGTGGTGAATGACTATCTTTTCTTCCTGTAAGACTGGAGCTGCTAACTGTCTAGCCATGTAAATATTTCAGGAATCTTTGATAAAAGGTATTGTGTATAACAAATATGTAAACAATGTTAAGCATTAAATAGAAAACACTTCTGTTCTAGACAGGAGCCTTGCCAAACTGCTATAGACTGTCAGTGGTGTTAAAATTCTCAAATATTTCAAGACTGTTAGGAACCTGATGCCTTTTTCGTTGGGAAGTTTACTGTCTTTATGTCACATCACATTTCATGCAGTGGAATCTATTTATAAGTAACTTTTCCTCTATCGCAATACCAAAATGTTCTTTTAGATGCCTTCAATAGAAAGTAAGCAATTGAATACGTAATGTTCCTTGTATGACTTCGTGTAATGTGCATCTTTTGTTTCTTTTGACTGCCTTTCAGCAACCCAGTGTAAACACGGTGCAGTTTATGACACCTGTGGCCCAGGATGTGTCAAAACATGCGATAACTGGAATGAGATCGGCCCATGCAACAAGCCCTGCGTTGCAGGATGCCACTGTCCAGCAAATTTAGTTCTTCACAAAGGAAGATGCATCAAGCCAGTCCTATGTCCTCAGCGATGACATTTGTTCTCTCTCCACGGACACTAATGTGGCTGTCACTGACCCATCCGATGCTCACAGACAGCAAAGGACTGCAGCTGTTCGTGCGCAGGTTCTGCAAAGTACAGAGTGTAAATATGCTCCTGTGTGTATTCATGTGTGTTTATGTATACACACGTGGCCCCAACAAAGATATATAAATGTATACTGTGTGTATGTAGATACACATATCTATACACAAGTGCCCTAAACGTAAGTACAACCCATATATTTATATACACGTAGACACACACAGATAGACATCATTTCTATATATCATAGAAGGATGAATTATTATATGTATATTTTTTGCTATAAAGTTTATGTATTATTACTTCTAAAACCCTTATCTGTAAGTCATTGTATAAATAAACCAGGTGTTTTTAATATAACGTAGTGGCACGGAAAGATTGGATGACTTTGCCATTGCATGAGTTTGTCGTTTCCAAGGAAACTTTTCTAGGGCTGCAGCATTGCCAGACTGGATTAGTTTCAACACAGAACCCGGATTTACGGTTGTACGGGAAACACATTTCTCTGGAGATGGAGGATTTATCTGAGAATATTTCATGCATACCTTAGAGCTGCATAGTGATTGGTGACAGTGCTTAATCACGCAGAGAAAGCTAGGGATCGGCTTTTACGCCTTACTGAAATAACTGTGCAAAAGGATTTCCAGCGCTGATTGGCCAAGTGCCAGCGGGGAGAGATTTCTTTCTGGAATGGCACCAAAAAGTCAAGGGCCAGATTTTTCAAAAGTGTTCAGCACCCAGCGGCCTGCTTTGAAAATCTGACCACTTCCCATTTCATATCCTAAAACCCCGTTTATGTTGTTGTGCTTGGCAGTAGCCGTGAATACACAATAAGGAGCTTGAAGAAAACACTCACGCACGTTTTAGCCCCTCTAGCATGTTCTAAACTGCTGGGCTTGTTTCATATTTCGCCTAAATATTATGCAGAAAGCAAATCCCACTGTGAATTGGAGTTTTTGATTCTGGTGTGCCTTAAAACGTGAAATAATACCGGGTTTAATAACTAATAATAATAACTAATTTGATTTATCAGCATGGCCAAGGAGAAAGACAAATTCCCCTTTCCAAAGAAAGCCAGTAGAGAATTCAGATACTAATTGGAGAACTGCAGTTTATTTCCTTACTGGTCTTTTTTACCAGTTTAGGAACATGTGGGCTCTGTGAAGTTTGCATGACTTTTGAAGCATCCCAGGGGAGAAGCAATAATATGGGATTTCATTAGAAACTGTTTAAAAAGCCATACAGCTTTCTCAGGTCTGAAGGGAGGGGGAGTAGGGGTGTATTTTTCTTCCACTGGAAAGCCTCCTGTAGAACCTGATGGCATGTTCTCCAGAGAAGACAGAAATCTTCAGGCATCTGATTGAAATTTGTAATGAAGTAATATCCTCCCACACAGCTACTTCCATTGTTCCATTCGAAACTGCACGCTGTAACGTTGTAATGCCTTGAACAATTTTCTCCTTTTAATTCACCCTCCAGGAAGCTTTGCAGGATCTGAGTTTGCAGTGAGTGAGTGGATGCAGCGCATTTGAGTTACGCAGCTTTCTGCAGGCCTGTCCTGGAGGAGGATGCTGAGTGAGCACAGGCAGGGTAGGCATCACACTATCCAAAATGCTGTACCACCACAGTGTTAAAAAGAGCTGGGCAAATAATGCCAGGAGCACTCCACGGATGTTTATTCAAATTTGAATAAAATCAGCTTGCTCTTTTTATGTCCCATTTTGTGTTTCTTTTCTTGGAACTATCAAATAATTCAGTTTTACTGGCAGAGGGGGTTTCAAAGCCACATACACAAATGTGCTGGAAAGCAGAATTGCAAATGTGCAGATCCCATCAGAGCAGGAAACTCAGAGGGCTTTATGTGGCTCATGTGATAACTGAATAGTGAAGCTGAAATGTAGAACAATTGCAATTGGTCCATAGAGTTAAAGCATAAAATTGTAGTCGTTAAAATAATTTAAAGCATCGGTTTCTACTGCAGAACATTTCAGCCTGTGAGTTTTAGGTGCTGAGATATGAGGTCTTAACCAATAAAAAGGTTATTTGCCCAGCTCTAGGTTGGGATTGATTTTCATTGCTGATTGATTTTTATTACTTATTGTGTTTCCAAAACAAAAATACATGCACAGTGAATTGCATAGATGAACAGTATTGCAAAGGTGTCCTCTTTTCTTCTCCTGACTAATGAAGGTGAGTGAAAGGTGAAGGGAGAGCCCTCCAGCTCTCTCAGGCTACCGATAGCATTCAAGCAATGCTTAATTGCTGCCAGGTGAAGAGGTGATGCAGACTATCTGTAGGATGAACTCTTTATTTTTGAAATCCTAAAGGCTTCGGTTTGAAACCTGACCTACAGGTCATCTCAAAATGAGGACTCATTCCTCAGCATTGCTTTTCTACATCTGCCTAATTGAGGGCAGCCCCCTGCTTTTTGCTTCAGTGATGTAAACCGAGGAAGAGAGGAAGGTGGTTTTACCTCTAAGCTATCTGATTGTGCCCTAGAGCTGTGTTGCTGGGCTTTTTCCTCTGAACTTCAATTACTGAGGCCATGGTAGAGCTATCGTCTGCCTAGATCATTTGTATTGGATAAGCTAAAGGAGCTCTGGTTTCCTAGAGACTGCTCCCACATTTCAGCTTGGTATGAGTTTTTCTATCCCTATCTATGGGTAGTTACTCAGTGCTATTCAGGATACACTTGTAACTGAGCTGGGGCTGTCTCTCTCTACTCTCCTGTTTGCCCATCTTCCACACTGTTCAGAAGCTGGAAGTCTACCCCAATAGCAGGAATAATAAGATGGCCACGAGCCTCAGAAAGTTTGGGTTACAGCCTATCTTCCTCCTTTATGCAGCATTCTTTCTCATTCTCCTCTCTTGGCTCATGAAATATTATCCCTAGTGTACTAGGGCTGGAAAGTTTCTGCATGTTGGTGGAGATTTATTTGTGACAAAAGTGACTGATACTCCAATTTTAATATGCTATGGCAAAAATGTATTTTTCATAACAGCATAAGGCTGACGATTCATATGGTATATTCACCATACGAAACAGATGGGTTTGATCTTGTTTGTGCTTAGGTCAATCTCTGCATATAACTTTTTGCCGATATAAGTGAAATATATTTGAAGGAGCAGAGATTCCAACCAAAACCTGATCCAAAAGGGAAGTCTGAGAAACTGTGGATGGACTCGAGGGAAGACTTGGATCAGTAGCTTTGCCATTAACCCGTTATGTGTTCCCTGGCAAGTCATTTAATACTCTGTACTTCACTGGGAAAAATGAGGTATTTTTGTTTATGCACCTTTTTCAAGTCTGTAGGTAGAAAAATGTAAACCTCACTGGGGGAATGTTAGCAAGTATCTTACTGGTCCATCTAGGTCTGTTTTAGATCAGGTTTTCCCATATCCCTGTTGCTTCAAAGGCAGCTTTCAGTTGGCATTTGTGGAGGTAAAATACATTTACTTCCTCCTCATTTACTTTCAGTTGTGCATATTTTTATCATATATATTGAGGTTTACATAGCCGAGCAGAGCAATTTGAGTTGCAGCCCAAGACCTCGTAGGTACTCCCACATCTTCCAAGAATGCCTTTCTTCTGCTGAGTTAGGTGTGCACTTCGAGTAAAAGTGAAAAGATTCCTATATCCTGCCCAGATGTGGCCCTATTCTTACATCACATAAATAGATAAACTAAAAGAAATGTTATTCTCATCAGAATCTGCTTTGTTTGAACATGGGGTTCAAAGGCACTGCTTAGCTTCTCCCTGACAGAAGCCAACATTTGCAAAAGCTGAATTGATGAGCGACTGCTTAGAGTTACATTTATTTCTCCTTCGTGAATAGTTGACAAGGTAACATCAGAGATAAGGGATATGTGAACAATAGCCCATGCATTTGCAGATGGATGAGTTGGAGAAAGAGGTGCAGTCAATAGCGTTTAGCCCAAAGCAGTGAGATGTCACAGGATTTCAAGAACTGTTCCAATGAAGGGAGCATTATTCCGAGGTTTCAATACTTGAAAGACAGGAACTTTCTGTTACATGTGCTGATCAAGTGCTTGTTCTGCTATCCCTGATTTTACCATATTAGAAAGCCCTGTGGTGAGAGAGATTTCTGCCTTCGCACAGAAACATCTGCAGAAACACTGCAAAGTTTCAGGACAAAAACCTAACTGCACCGCCATTACAGAATTCCTTCTCTCTCTTATAAAGGCTGTTGCACAGATCAGTATTTCAAGTGCAATCATCACTGTGACAGCTGAGCACTATGCAGTCTGTAACAGCAGGATAAGGTTCAGCAATGAAAGTGAGGAGGTAACTCTGGATCCTTCAGCTGGCCAGGCTGTAGTTGAGTGAAGATGGTACAATAATGTGAGACATAATCAGGCAGAAGGTCAGAGGCAAGTAAGAAAGGAGACAGCAGTAGTAGGATTTTTACATTTTTGTTCTATGCGAATATTTTCACTCTACAATGTTAGAACCGAGCTGTTGCCCAGCAAAGGCAAAATTGGTAGGTAGTCCCTGAGCAAAAACAAAGCAAAACAGAACAAAAACAGAACAAAAAAGACTAACCACAGTGGAATCGTATGTTCAGATCTGAACAGAACTGGTATATAATGACAGGGATATAAAAGCGTAATTAAACTAAAATTAGGGGCTTCTATTCCAACTTCACAACCCCTAAATAACAGTAGTAAAAGTCACCTCAGCTAAGGAAAGGGATCTTATTTCCTGGTCTGAGAGCAGCAAACATCTGCAGAATATGGTTCTCTTGCTTCCATGAGCATAACAAATGTGTTTTGGTTTCCTCCTTGATCTGTATTATAGCGAGCACACAGCTATTCCCCAGTCTACACAGTCAGGCTACAAAGGCTACAAATGCACATTTCGAAATAGTCCTGCTCCTACCTGTAAGATCAAATTGCAAATTCTACTCAATATTAAGGAGGCACAAGCTTTCTTTTTGATAACAGCTCTTTCAGCAGGCAGCAGCGTTGCTCAGCATCAAGCAATATTTCTTATGAAATGTGACATTTGCCATTAGCATGGCTTTACCCTTTTCATTGTGAGCTGTTATGCTAGGCTTGCATACAGGAGGAAGTCAGCTCTAATGGAGTGTGTGAGCATGGGATGGAGCGGGCAGCATCATATAACCACCGTTACCTTTGATAGTGATCTGAGCTCCCCACGGGATGCTTATACTTGAACATCAGTGTAATTTGGTTTTGCACATGTAAGTGAAGTGATGGGAATGGAGAAATTTCCTGCCCAGACAGACCTGCATTTTTTTCTTGTGGTGAAGAAATGCTTCAGAGTGTGCTTCAGAGAGTGGTATATAAGCCATGTACCAAACAGCTACGTAATACTT